TATATATATATAATTATACAGTATTTATGCATACCTTATAAATTTGGATTAAAATCTTTGTTATATATGATAAGTATAACATAGAATCTTTGTGATTTCTTGTATATTTTACAGTAAAGCCGTCTTGTACCAGACAATTTATAGAAGCTTGTAACAATGAGGAGAGTGATACAGAATATCGGGAATTTTTATCAATATTTTCTACTATATACATCAAATTCTCAATACCAGACTGCTTTAATCGAAACTGAAATATATAAAGAATATATGTATGTGTGAATAATCAAATATGCAGAAAATCAAGGATGTACCAAAAGATAATTGCACTCCTATACGTTACCTTTTGTTCATAAAACCTTCCATCCACAATACTTGCACTTAAATCATCCATTCGCTTCCGTTCTATTATGTAAGGTATAATCAATTCATCATTAGTTTTTCGACATCTGGCTATCCACGTGAAATCACCAATCTTTAAACGATGTACTTCAAACAATACCTTAAGCTGTGTCAACTCCATAATCGTGGCATTGTGCTGAGGCTTCATTTTTCCACTGGAATATATCCCACATAGCTAAAGTTTTTTTTACAGTTGACAGTATAAGTTGCAGTATACCATAAATACTCACCCACAAGTTTCTTGAGTATCCACTAATAATATAATATCAAAAGTATTCGATTTAAAGGAAATTTGCCTATTAGCTTTTTTTGAAGCAATGTCATTTGCATTTATCAATCTTTCCCGAGCATTCTTTTTGGTATTTTTAGTTTGTTTAGATACCCTAGTCTTCTCCTGTACTTCAACTAATTGACAATCTTTTACAGATTTCCTTCTCAACGTGGCTGTATGATCTTCATTACTACTACCAGTCCTGAAGACACAAGCATCAACTGTTCTGATGGATTCCTGTCTCCTGTACTCCTCTAGCTTTTTATCGAGCATCAAACATAACTTTGTACCAAAGTGCTGTAAGATTATGCACTCCTTACCAGACTCCAGCGGTAGCGGATATCGTTTCAATGAATCTAAAGCCTTTGCAAAATGATCATGCAGCTCTGAGTTTCGGAATACCGCTTCGTTTCTCCATTCTTCTAACCAACTTTCGAACAGGCGATTCGGCCTGTCTAGCACAATTTTAATCCTCTTCATTTCCGAGTACGTAAATTAAATATTGGTAAAGGTCAAATGGAGAGTAATCATCTCAAAAATCGATGAAATTATATTCATTCGACGCGTTTTTCCATAAAATCAGGAAGATATAAGGAGACTCCACTCTGTAAAATAAAAGTGGACCCATTTTAGGTTTCGAGTTCAGTTTCCGATTCTCGACAATCTCGACACTCGCAGCGCTCGTGAATTTATGCGCAACACTACTAAATTCACGAGCGCTGCCGCGCTGCGAGTGTCGAGAATCGGAAACTGAACTCGAAATAAAATGGATATTTTGTAGACTGGCGAGACTGAGTGGAGTCTCCTTCTTATATCTTCCTTCATGCATAAAATGAAAGAATCTGGCAGAAAAAAGCGTCGCCAAGCGTCGCTCTGCCCCGCGAACTGAGATATTAATCGTTAGGGCTGCGCAGTAAAAGGAACAGAGAATAAGAATTTCAACCTATCAGAAATTATATATTGTGGAATAAACAGTGTGTATTCCATAGTACATGATTTCTGATAGGTTGAAATTCTTATTCTCTGTTCCCGTAGCGCCGTAGCCTCCACATCTGCAAGCTGCAAGCGGGACGCGGGTTAGAAATCGTATCACTGCAATGGAGCTAGATCAGGAAATCGATCAAGGTGGACTTCGCGTTGACGGCAGACGAGCATTGGAATTGAGGCAAATCCGTATACGGATGGGAGTATTTGGGCAGGCCGATGGCAGTGCATACATAGAGCATGGCAACACAAAGGTTTTAGCAGCAGTGTACGGTCCTCGTCAGGTATGAATCAGTTTTGGTAAAGGTGCAATGGAGGGCAACCCTCTCAAAAATTAATTAAATTATACTCATTCGACGCGTTTTTTCATCGATTTTTGAGAGGATTACTCTCCATTACACCTTTACTTCAGTATTAAAACATTTTCCACAATTGCTATAAAAAGTGAACTAGTAATTATACTTATACATTTTGGTTGAAAAAAATTATAAAGGCTAAAAGTCTGGTTCCACCACTGTAATATTTAACTTTAATCTAGGTTTAATTTACTGTTTATCTTTTTTTAGATTTTAAAATTAATAAAATATAAAGACTAAATTGAGAGAACTGAGATTAAAGTTAATGTCATATTGATGGAACCAAGCCTAAGAATTTGTAATTATAACTGTTAAAGATTAGGAAATACCATGGTGATAACTGTTATTTTTTACTTTTCTATAATCATCTTATTTTTCCATTTAAAGCATAAATGTTTTTTTTTTGGGCTGAATATTTATCTAAATTATTAAATTTTTATTTTGACATTTATCTTGAGATATACCATAATATCTATATTTTTTTTTTTTTGGTTTAGTCAAGGAGTAGTGCATCAAGGAACAGTACAAAGGCTATCATAAATTGTCAGTACAGCATGGCTGTATTTAGTTTTACTTCTGGCGAACGAAAGCGAAGACCGAGAGGAGATTGGAAATCGCAAGAGAGGTCAGCACAATTACGCCATGCCATGGAAGCTATAATACACTTGAAACTGTATCCACGCTCTCAGATTGATGTCTTCGTAGAAGTTTTACAGGTTGATGGCAGTGATTATTGTGCATCCGTAAATGCTGCAACGCTTGCGTTAATTGATGCAGGAATTCCAATCAAGGTTAATATCTAAGGAGACAATTTTGTTCTTTTGAAACAGAATGCAAACTGTACCAATGTATGCAAAATAAATTTCTAATTGCAGAACTATGCCATTGGCTGTAGCATAACTCTCGTTAACAAACCGTTGGTAGAAGATAAAACTTCAGTCACAGGAGTATTAGATGCTAACTATGTAGAGGAATGTTCGCCAGGAGTTACCTTGTCTGTTGTTGCATTATCAGAAATGAATAATGATGTTGAAGTAGATGGGAATGGTTTGATAGTAGTAGCGCACGGAGCAGGTCAAAGATTACATTTGTCATGTTTGGAAGCACTCAAGCAACGTGCGTTAAAAGGTTGCCAGGATGTAAAGAATATATTGGACCATGGCGTAAGGCATCATCTAACTGCAAATCTGTTGCCTTCATTTTTGCACAATTCACTTGACTAAGAAAAAACGGAACGCTTATATTTCACATATGTATAAGAGATTTTTATATAATTTAATTATCTTTCTGTACATAAACTTCTATCTAATTAATAAAAAAAATTGCTTTCTTAAGAACAATTTCACAATTTTAAATGTTTCTCTCGAGTAGAAAAATCACTATTTCTCTGTTAATTAATGTCTATTTTTATCAAATGTATATTCCTTGAAAAGTGAAATTAGATTGTAGCACCAGTATATCGTTCCATGATCATACCAACTCCCTACAAAAAAAATATTAAAATTACAAATTCAAAAAGGAAAAAGAAAATTTAAGATTATAAAAGCTATTGCATTATATATAATATAAATCTTTATTTACTTGTCCACCAGCAGCACAAGCTGAGATAAGTCCAAATTGTTGATCTTCTTTAATAAGTCTGTTGGCAGTGTGCGTCGCTAATCGTACTCCAGTGGCAGCAAATGGATGACCGATCGACAAAGATCCTCCCCAAGCATTCCACTTATTTAAATCCGGTATACCGACTTTCGAACTCCTCTTTAAATACTTTTGAGCGAACAAATCAGAATCCATTGCTTTCAGATTAGCACAAATTTGTCCAGCAAACGCTTCATGTATTTCCCATACTCCTATATCTTTCAAAGTTAATTTTGCTTTATCCAGAATCTGCAAGTGTGATTTATATAAATTTTATATTATGCAGTTACATAAATAATATGTAATAATATAATGATGGAAATTGCATACTTTTGGGATTGCATATGATGGTCCTAGAAGTAATTGATCAACTGGATCTTGAGACACATAAGTAAAGTTGCGCAAATATGCCTTGGGTTTCAAGCCAAGTTGGAGAGCTCTCTCTTCGCTCATTATTAACGCTGCCGATGCACCATCGGTCAAGAAAGAGGCATTGGCTGCAGTAACTGTTCCATAAGGTTTAACAAACGCAGGTTTCAGCTTTGCCAATTGTTCTTCCGTAGATACGCGAATGCCATTGTCTCTATCGACAACTTTATCAACATTTGGAACTGCAATACACAAAAATAAAATAAGACTTATAAAAGTTAAATATTGAATAAATTAAATACAAACGTATAAATTAAATATTGAAGCATTAATCCACCTTTATAAGGAGCTACGTCTGACAGCAGTCCCTGTTGCTGCGCTTGCGCAGCTAATGTATGAGAACGCAATGCGTAATCGTCTTGTTCCTTACGTGTTACACCAAACGCTGCTGCTAAACGATCCCCACTATGTCCCATAGTTTCATTTGTTGAAAACTCTGCCACAGCTGGTAGCTACATAGACAAATTCTTATAAGGTATTTAAAAAGTCGAGGAAAGAAGAGTTCTATTAATTTTATATATATATATATATATATATTTATAACTATAATATTTTTATACAAAACATATTTTCTAAAAAAAAAAAACATATATATATATAGAAAGATCATACATCAACTTACATCTGGTATGAAATGATTTGGTCTGATACTGGCCAAGAGAGCTAATTTATTTGGTAAAGTTTTTGCTTTATTAGCTTGCAGCATCAGAGATCTCATGGATCGACTATGTCGAATTGGAATATCTGACATAAATTCTACTCCTCCTGCTATAACAGCATCATAAACACCACATGCGATTAAACCCATGCCAGTGGTAATAGCCTGATTGCTGCTAATGCAAGCCATTGTTACTGTATGTGCAGGAGTGTGCTCACTATATCCCGCAGCTAGAGCAGCTTCTCTCCCTATATTGGAAGTACGCACTTCTTGCAACACTGTGCCATAAACTATATAATCAATTATTTCCTTGGAAAACCCAATCTTCTTTTGCAAACTCCTATAAATTAATAAAATATAATTTACTTTTACAATTAACATTTGTAATTAAAAGATATATTTAATTTCTTAAAGCTACTTTATAAGAGATATTTGGAGTTATATTTGTGATTATTTATATTGACATATATTGATAATGTAATGACTTACACCAACGAATGTCTTGCTAGATCATAAGCCAGGAGTTTCTTATAATCAGTTCCAGATTGTAAAAATGGAGTTCGTACTCCATCAACAAATACAATATTTTTTGAAGCATTGTCGTTTCTCGTAGAATATGCCTTATTTATAGAAATTCCAAAACAACGAGAAAAAGCTTCTGTTAAAATAGTAATTTAAGAAATATGTATTTATACAGACAATTTATTAAATAATACAGAGCAAATTTAGAAAATACAAACACATATTATTTAAGATAGTCAGATATAAATTTAAATTTTGAATACTACAGAAGTGTGTATATACCACATATAAACAATATAATTAATTGTGTGTAATTACATATCGCAAAGAGAAAATCAAGTCAAGTCTAAATATACTATTCTTGATATTCATTCTCTATGGACTTTGTACCAGTAACACTTTAATTCTAATATTTAATTATACTCTTATAAGAAAAACATTATTCTCCGTACCATGATTAATAATTCCTTGTCTTGCAATAAGACAATTTTTCAGAAGAGGGAACATATTGTGTGAGATACGATATTGACACGGTTCTTTTACCAATTATATTTAATGTGTCACCGAAAATCTCTCAGAGAAACAACAATCACAAAGCGCTGGACTTTGGTCTGCAACATATGTATGTCCGTTCCTGATGACGTCTGTTTTAATTTTCTTCAACTATCATGAATCTAGCAAGGTTGCCAGATACTTGACAGGAGTCGTCGCCGATGGAGGGCACTAGTGTCGTCCAAAAGTCGCTCAACTGAAAAATGCTTCCCAAAAAGGGGAGGGGGGGGGGGGAAAGGGAAAGGAAAACTTCTGTACAGTAAAAGCCGCAGCCAGGAAGTAAGATATAAGGAGACTCCACTCCGTAAAATAAAAGTGGACCCATTTTAGGTTTCGAGTTCAGCTTCCGATTCTGATGAGTGCGAGTAAGAGAAATGATCATTTCTCTTACTCGCACTCATTATGCGCAGCACTACTAAATTCACGAGCGCTGCGAGTGTCGAGAATCGGAAACGGAACTCGAAACCTAAAATGGGTTCATGTCTTGTAGACTGGCGAGACCGAGTGGAGTCTCCTTATATCTTCCTTCATGGCCGCAGCACACACTTTTGCATGACGCATAAGAGAATCAGCCAATCAGAGTCCTTCTTTTCCTCCCACTTCACGAAAGAGAAGCATTTTGATTCTCTTATGCGTCATGCATTATATTCGTCTACCTCGTCGACGAAGACCTGGGCCAATAATATATAGAAGAAGAAGCTGTGTATGTACATATATACATACATACACTGATTAGACTTGAAAATTATATCACTTGACTGAGCCCGACGGCAGGAATTTAGGTTATACCGTTAGTTGTAAAATATTTATATGCAAATATGCTGCCCTTACACATATTATCCAAGTAAGTACATTTGCACCAAGATTGAAACATGTTAAAAATGTATTAAGATATTTGTTGAGAAAGTTTTTTATGGCTTAATGTATAAAATTTTATTACGATAAAATAATAAAATATTGTATAATTAAACATTATGTAATATTATATATCCTTAAGGATAATGAGTTATATAGTGTACTTTTTCATTTATATTTTACATAATTTGTATCATTTAAAATTTATATATTAGACTAGTAGATGATCTTTATTTTTTTATATATAGATATATACAGTTATACTGCATAAAATGATTAGTATATCATTATTGATTTACATTTTTAAGACTTGTATCAATAGTATTTTATACGAAATACTATTAATTTATAATTTTGATATTACATCAAGAAATATATTTTGCAGATGCAAAATAAGATCTTCAAGTAGAATATTATTTCAATGGGTAAATATTTCCACGAGATTGTGCTCTTCATCTTCGTCATCTTCATCAGATTCATCTGATTCTGATTCTGAAAAAACAAAACCAACAGCAACACATGTTAAAAGTGCAAGTTCTACAAGTACAACATCAAATAACAAATATGATTTGGAAAACTTTTTGAATAATATAATAAAAGTAAATTATAAGATTTTTTTGTGTAATATTTATTTTTAAGTTCTGTTAAATCCAGAACATATTATTTTATCTCTATTAAGAATATTTATTATTTTACTCTTTTTTTTTTTAGTAAATCATATAGAGATATCCACAATGAGAATTCTTATTTTGAAAAAAATAATAAAAACTTTTTTTTTTAAATAATGTTCTATTTAATTTTTCTTTAAATTATTGCATTTAATAATCAAACTGAGTATTTAAATAATAATTATGTTAAATTGTTATATTTTGAAGTAAAATGTTGATATAATTAAAAATAACATATAATGAGATATTTTGTAGAGACAAACATAAGCTAGTATACTTTAATGAAGACATCTTTTATTGTCTTCTTAGGGGAAAAATACACAGAAAACTATTGATGTTGCCATACAGCCTAAAAATAAGAAGGATAATTCGAATAAAAAACATATGCCTTTTGGTAACTTTGTTCATAATCCATGTTTGTATAGGTTCACATCTTGCTTGATGTATTAAATTATTTTTTTTTAGAAAAGAAAATAATAAGCGCGGTAGAAGATGTGGCCAACAGGCTTGGTGGAGATAAAACCAAAACAACATCAGATTTGCTTGAAAAAGTTCTTGCATCTAGAATATTAACACTGAAAGAACAGGCAAGCACGTATGTAGATTAATTGTGTCATTAAATACAATAAATTATATGTGTTCTATATAGTTGTGTGCATGCGTATGTATGTATATTGTAATTCTACAAGTTTTTTTTATAAAACATTTTTATAATATAATTTAACAGTAAAATGCAGAAGAATGTTCGACAATTGCCAAAATACGATAAGCAAAAAAGTTCTGAAGATAAACATTTAGAAAAAAGGTCTATAATACAATCCCTGCTGGATGAATATAATAAGCAACCAGTAAAGAAAGTAGTTGAAGATAGTATAGCAAGACAGTTATTACATAGTGTTAAAGCATCTAAAGAGAAGTTACAGGATACTGATAAAAAAATACCTCGTGCCAGGTATTGCAAGAAATTTAATTATTATTAATTATTATTATATAATATAGAGATTAAATTTAGTCATTTATATAAATTATTATTTATCAGAGAGACCGAAAATAACAATTATAAAAATTTCATCTAAAAAAATAATTGATTAGAAGTTGGTATTTATTCATAGGGAAAATCATCACCGAATATTAAAGAAATTGTTCAATAAACATATTATCCATAACGTATCAACTTTTATGTATTCTAGCTATGAATCATTATAAATGATTAAAATTATTTTTGGTTGGAAATAACTATTGCTCATGTTGGAAATTGTTTTTGGTTACAAATAACCATTATCGATGATCAAAATTTTATTTTGATTACCCAAGATCTCCAAACTATATACAAACTTTCCTGGCAAGCAATATCAAGTATGAACATGTTTTCTGTTTGTTATTATCGATTTTATATTACCAATTTTATTACAACGCTTGCCGGGACCCAACAAAGTTTGCATATAGTTTAGAGATCTTGGATAACCGAAATAAAATTATGGTTATCGGTAATGGCTATTCATAATCAAAAACAATTTCCGACACTAATAATGGTTATTCGTAACCAAAAACAATGTCCGTCATCAGTAATGGTTATTCCCAACCAAAAATAATTTTAATCATTTATAATGGTTATTTATAGACCCAAAATCGCTCTAAGAGAAATATAATTGTTATACTACAACTTTTTGAATCAGTTTAGTCCGCTTTATTTACACAAAAGCGATTGGAAGAAACTCTCAGGACACCCTGTATATGTAATGTATAATTATTAATTGATTATTTTTTTATATGATAGATTCAAAAATATCGATTTGTGGAATGGAAAGCCTAGTAACATTTTTGAAAATATGAATGCTGCTTCACCAAATATACCGGAATTAAAAACATGGGTGTCATTAGAACAAAGAGAATTAAAAGCATTGACAACTTATCCACCTGCCAATATTTTTCAAGAACTAATTCTTTGGACGGAGCAAGGAAAATTATGGAAATTTCCTATTGACAATGAACAAGGTTTTTAATATACATACTTATACAGGGTGTATCAAAAAAGTCTGGATACACCTAATTATCTCATAAACAATACATTTTAGAAAGAAATGTTTCAGACAAAAGTTGCAAGGCTTAAAAAGATACATTCAACGATAGTAATTATTTGATCTAGGATGGCGTTGTCAAGATCACATCAAGATCAACTTAATTTTTTTAAATGGAACATCCTACTTTTTATTTCAGATTCTTGTAGGTTAAGTCGAGATGTTTTCAAAACACGTATAAGAAAATTAAGTTGACGTTGATGTGACAACGCCATCCTAGGTCAAATAACTACTATCGTTGAATGCGTCTTTTTAAGCTTTACAACTTTTGTCTGAAACATTTTTTTCTAAAATGCATTGTTTATGTCGTTTATGAGATATTTAGGTGTATCCAGACTTTTGGTACACCCTGTATATTATGTTCTTCTGAAATTTGAAAAAAATTAAGTTTAATTAGTAATATAGAGAAACAGGGCAATAGACCAATAAATTACGTTAAAAATCTTTTTAAATTCATTTAATATATTGTGAAGAATATCACGTAATTATGGCGTTTCGTCCCGAATGGCGAATATATTAAATGAATTCAAAAAGATTTTTAACGTAATTTATTGGTCCATTGCTCTGTTTCTCTATATTAGTTGTTAAAAACATATTGAGCCTTATTACAAACATTTTAAGTTTAATTATTTCTATATATTTCAGGGATGGAAGAAGAGCACAATGTTCATTTCTCAGAACATGTATTTATGGAACGTCATTTGAAGGGATGGTGTCCTAAATCAGGACCAATTCGTCATTTTATGGAATTAGTGTGCACTGGACTTTCAAAGAATCCATACTTGACAGTTGAAGAGAAAATTGCACATATTATGTGGTATAAAGAATATTTTGAATCTAAACAAGACCTGTTGCAAGAAGTAGGAGCAATTCATCAGCCACTCTCTGACAAAATAAAAGAAATTATAGAATAAAATGACATATACGCGCGTGGGTAACTTGAAAAGTTTTTTAAGTCAGAAAGAAAACATTTTTTCGTAAAAGTTTTATTTTATTTGCCAATATAATCTCCTTTTAATTCAATACACTTAGTCCAGCGGTGCTCTAATTTTTTCAAGCCGTCCAAAAAGTACGATAGCTGAAACTCTGCAAAATAGACGTTCCTGGCACTTCATTCAACGCGAATTTCTTTCCTTTGAGCCAAATCTTAGGAACAAAAAGAAGTCGTATGGGGCCGAATCTGGAGAGTATGATGGATGATGAGGCAGCAATTCGTATCGTAATTCGATCAATTTTGCAGTGGCAATTGTGAATGAATGGAACGATGCATTGTGATGGAACAACACTTTTTTTCTTGGCCAAATGAGGGCGTTTTTCCTTCAATTCTTTGTCAAAACGGCTCAGCATAGTATTTTCCCGTAATTGTTTTTCCTTTTTCTAAGTAGTCGATGTGGATGATGCCTTTAGAATCCCAAAAAATAATGACCATTTTCTTCCCAGCTGATGGAACTGACTTAGCTTTCTTTGGGGCCGGTTTACCAGACGAAGTCTATTGCTTCGATTTTTCAAAAAGTAGTGTTTTATCACTGCACGAGAGAGAGAAACTCTTTTTATCCATCGTTGAAAAAATATTTGACTTGCTTTGTTTGACTGCCTGTAACTAAATGATTAATGGACGCAATTGTTTGGAAATTTGACAGCAACCATAAAAGATGATCACAGTGTTAGAAGTAAACACCATGAAGATGATGTACTTTTTGGCCATTGTCTTTTTTGCGATACGCGCGCTATCTTTGTGTGAGAAACTTTTCAAGTTGCCCATGTGTTAGTGTATTTCACAATTTTAATGTACTTATTTTTTTTTAATAATTTCTTCTTTCACATATCTATACATAAATACGAGTATATTATAAATATAACATAAATAACTTAATAGGGATTAAGGGTTTAAATTAGTAAATAAAAATTTTTTTTAATATAATATCTTTATTATGTATAATATGTAATTTTATTATCGACATGCAAAAAAATTCAACTTCAGATTATAAATATGGATCCCCATAATCTTCAATTAATAAATTTTTTTCTATAGATAATTTTATTTGTATACCATCATTTACAGGATCCATTGATAACACCATAATTCTGTTTACAACTAGCAGTCCAGGATTATCCACACTTTGATGTAAAATTAAATCGATTTCATCTCCTATTTTCATCTGTTACCACAATTATTTCATGTATACAAATTACAAAAATAATTTTAGTAGGACTAGATTAAACATTCAGCTTTATTGCAAAAATGATAAACTTACCTCTTTAGATTTCTTTAATACTTTATTTCCATTTATACGAATTTTGCTTGCATAAAAGGCCTCTTCAATTTTACTAAAAAAAAAAAAAGGAAAATGTAAAATAAATAAGATTTAAATAAAAATGTAAATTATGAAGTAATATATTATATTTATGCAAATACATAAATACATAAATCAAAATAAAATTAGACATACTTGCGAGCCATTCCAAATCCAGCTTTGGAAATGGCATCTAAACGAATAGAAGCTGCCCTTATTTTGATAACTTTTGAACCTACAGGAGCTTCCTCCTCATCGTCTTTGTCTTCTTCCTCATCAGAATCCTCATTTTTATCTTTCTTCTGCAATATATTTCCAAAGAGAATACATTCATCTGTGTTTAAAAGTTTGCCAAAGGGACAAAAAAGCAAAAGACATTAAGTCGGTTATATTAAGGAAAAGTAGCTAAATAAATTATACATTATTAATTACAATATTAACAGTTTTCTTCTTGGACTTGAATCTTTTTGCTATGTACAAATGACAATGATTTTGTACACTAGTCTGTTTTGCATCATCGCTGCACAATAAGAGATTCGATTGTAAAGGATCTCGTAAGCGACAAAGCGTACGCGTACTGTAACATATCGATCTCCTAATAATATTAACTGTCACTTTGGATAACATAACAACTTGTACGATTACAATATGAAATATCTATCTGTTGGTTAGATAACCTCTTTCACAATGGAGCGAACATGTATATTTTTTTGTATCAAGTTATTTTTTTATCGTATTTATTTCAAAATGTAAAACACAGGCATTTTTTCAACCATAATACATTATATAAGCATTAATTATTTATCTCCTTTCATGTAAATTTTTCATGAAATTTACGGAAAAAATGCTTAGTTTTACGCATGCGTATTATACAGTTAAGATAATATAGTAACATACGTGTCTAGTTTGAATCCGCTATGAACGCACCCAGTATCTCAATAAAAGCTTTATTTATGAAATAAAGTACGTTTTTATTGTTATACAAATATGAAATTTTATGTACATACAAATAGATATGCAATTTTTATATCAACTTTGTACAAATAATTTTTTCTATTTTATTTATAGATAAAGCAACATAAACTGATAATAGATTAATTAATTTATTTAACTTAACCTAAAAGTTAGTTAATAACATGTATGTCATTTTCAATTGTACAATTTTTGTAATTATGTTAACTTTTACATAATTATATAATTATTAACATATAATGACATCAATCAATTCTGGAATGAACGTTACGTTATAAAACGATAAAAGTTTCGATTCCTTCTTTTGCTTTGACATTTTACAAAAAATCCCATCGATAAGCGCTATCTTTCTTTCAGTTCGGTGGGGCTGCCGTTTTTCGATTGAATTTCACATTTTATGTGACATTTTCATTTTTTACAAGTTCACATAAAATTTTTCACTTTTCACAATTCACGCTAGGGAAAAAGTTTCATGATCGATACCCTGAGCTCTGATTGGAAGGCTCGTTATTCCCTGTTGCCTGTTCTTGTGTTTCCAGCTTTATGCCTAATTCACACTAGGCGCGACGAGCGATAACCTATAAGAACTCTGCTTTACATCGTCGTGTGAGCTAAATCGCTTTTATTGGATATCGCTCATCGTTCATTGTCCATCGCATCCAGGCGCAAGCCGGAAGTATGTACACAGTTCCCAAATCAACTTGATTGTTAATCAAAGTTTTCCGTAAATTTTTGTTCGTTGTGTGCACATTTTTTTTCACTGATCTGTTAATCGAAAATTACGAGAAGATTAATCGTTTAGAAATCAAAATTAGAGAAACGAAGAGCAGTTTCATTTAGGCTGACTTTCCACAGTTCGCAATCGATCATCTCTGTCACAATTCCGCAGAACGACAGAACTCCACAACCCACACTTGTGAAGATTTTTGAAGAAGTGCTAGAAGTTTCGAAGTTGTGCTAGAGCATCATGCCAAAGAATAAAGGTAAATGCAACTTCGTTTCATCCCGCGTCTGTCTTTCCGTTTTAAATCCTCGATTTTTCAATTATCGCGTTTTGTCCCACTAATATGTCGTGTGTTAACTTAACCTAATTCGTGTCAACGTCATCTTCGAGATGATTCAAATTTCAAATATTTTCTATTATATGTATTCTGTGGCATTATCACGCAAGCCATACTTTGTTTGCAGGAAAGGGAGGTAAAAATAGGAGAAGAGGGAAGAATGAGAACGAGACCGAAAAAAGAGAGCTGGTGTTCAAAGAAGATGGACAAGGTGAGAGTAAAACATGGTGTGAATGATGCGATTTCATCTCAGAAACGTCATCTCAGAAAGTCCTCAGGAACAAGTATCGGTGACTTATTTGACGTTATTTTGCACAGAATACGCTCAAGTGACAAAAATGCTGGGCAACGGTAGGTTAGAGGCTATGTGTTTTGATGGAGTCAAACGATTGTGTCACATCCGAGGCAAGCTGCGGAAGAAGGTATGGATTAATCAAGGAGACATCATATTGATCGGACTGCGAGACTATCAGGATGCCAAGGCAGACGTTATATTGAAGTATACGTCTGACGAAGCACGTAACTTGAAAACTTATGGCGAGTTCCCAGAAACCGGTAAGTAGCATTCTATCACGAATATCTTGGTAAAAAACGCAATGAAAATTGCAAAATGTAGTTTTGTAGACTTTGCCTAATTTTTGGTTAAATTCTTTATATCAAAATTTTGAAATTGTTTGTTTACGTCGCTTGGAAAAAGACGTTGGTTCCTACTTATATGATTATTGCGAAGAATATTACTAAAGCCTTGGTAGTCTAATTGGCTAGGACACTTGCGCGTAAAGCAAACGATCCGGATTTGATTCCTGGCCGAGGTAATATTTTTCCAAGATGCAATGTGCATCAAAATTGTTAGATTGTTAGTTTAACTTGTGATAGTAGTGCGGTAGTTTATTAGTTTGCGTTTTTTTTTTGTAAATCTGAAAAAAAATTTCGGCGCGCATTTAGAGATCTATGTACATACATAGTATATAAATTCACACAAAAATTATATTAGAAGCTTCCAAGATCTAGCTTGACCGTTAATGGCTTATTCTCATCGGTATTTAGTTTATCTTAATAATTTTATATATCTTATAAATTGTCAAGTAAAATTTTTTATGTAAAAATTTCTGTTTTATATTTTCTAATTTTTATGTATTTTCTAAAATTTTCTCTTAGTGCGTATCAATGATACAGTAACTTTCGTGGAAGATGGATTTGATGAAGACATTGAATTCGGGGATGAAATTAGCGACGATGATGAAGATGATGTTGACAATGTAAGTTTTATATATATATATTTTTTAAAATTGTATTTATATATATTTTCTATTTAAAAATTAAATATATTTTCTATCTACTTATGCTATACTTTTTTGTGTTTTCTTTTAGCTTTTCTACACTTGTTTTATTTTTTATGTAATGCAATTTAAAAACTTAGTCAATATTTTTTTATTTTTTATTGTTTATTTATTGTATTTTATAGTGTAAGTAGTAAACTGAATAGTACTATATTCAATATATGAATATATATATATATATATGAATATAGGCGAGTTTTTAAATTCATCCTATACCATTGCTTTTACAGATCTGATGACCCGCAGTTTAAATAATAAAAAAGATAAATATCACGAGAAAGTACATGGGGACATCCATTCATTTCAAAAATGCAATTATGCAATGTCAAAGTTTCCTTCTGTTGAGTAGTTCATCTCACTGTATGTATCTACAAATAAATCATCAGTTTATGGTAATATCGTGTTCCAGTTTGAATAGTCTTTTCTTAATAAATTGTTTTTCTTTATATACTTTCTTTTTTTATTTACATCATGTATCTGCCTATTTGTGAAATACACACATACATATATTATTCAGCAAATGAAATATCACTATATATCATGCAGTAAGTACTTTTTTGTATGTTGAAATGTCTCATTAAATATGATTTTCAGGAAGCGAAGTAAGGTACAATTAGATTTGTCAAATTTTGATGAGATTTTAGAACTATTACTAGAATATAAATTAATAAATTAAAAGACGCATGAAAAGGAATAAGTTCTCTGTAACTTTCTATCTTAGCGTTCTTTTATTGTACTTTCAATCGATTAACACACACGTTGTTAATAATATAGCTATTCAGTACAACACGTAATACGTGCCACATTTAATTCTTAGGACATGCGTTTTGTTATGTAATCAGTGCAATTGTTCAATGCATGTTATTCTTCGTTGTGAAAAGAGATTACAGGTTTGCTGCATTTCGATATTATTTGGTATTAGCAACGACGAAAATGTGTAAATTATTTGTATCATTTTTATTGTTTTAATAAAAAAACTCCGGATAATGTTGTTTAGATTATAATGTAAAAGCGAAACAGTAATTTAATTGTGAATTTGAATTTTTTCATTAAATAAAATTATATATGTGTGTAAATGGAGATAAAATACTTACTTTTCTACGCCTTTCCTTTTAACGTATCGACTAAAAATAAGATTTATGCAATCTTTACAAAAAAATATTTATAATATGAAGAGTGTATACTTACGTAAAATTGTTCTATTTAGTTCACACATCCAAAATATATTGATTATTATTTTTTTTTTTTTAATAACAGAATAATTGAAAGTGATAAAAAATGCTCGATAAAAGAAAAATATACAGACAAATAGATAGCGACTGATTTGATTATTGAATGTTCAAATATAAAATAAAAGAATGAAACAGGTGTCCTCTTTCCTTATCTTTCCATTATAGAGGACATTGTAATTCTGATGCAACATTTTATTTATTATGCCGCTGATACTTCTATCACATAATAGTAAGTATAGTAAATTATAGTCTCTTTTTTGATAACTTGACGCCATGCAATGTCATTGTATGATAGCTTAATGCCATTATAGTATTGAGAAGGGACATGTAATTAGTGTAAAGAGAATATGCTCGACTGTTTGACGTATTATGTTGTCCACAAAAATTAATTTGTATAAAAGTATGTGAGATATAAAGCATCAATTTGACCCTGGCACATCAATGCTCTGATGATAAGTAGCGTAGATATTATATGTGTTTAGATTTAGAACAATACGTTCGTATTACATATCCTCGGTAGTGTAAAATAATATGAAGTACATTGATATTGCACATGGAACATATCATTTGTATGCCAAGTAATACGATCATCACGTATAGCTACATATGTATCTGTATAATGATACATACAAAATATTTTTCCTCTCGGGAAATAAATCGTGAAACATAATTGATAGCATTGAAGTACCAGCGTCGCAGAATTCGTATGAATTGTGTACTAGATGTTACGACAATACATGGGAGCATATTATTTTATTTTTATGCGCGTGTGTGATTGTGCCTTTGGTCCTTAGGTCAGATAGGCTCTAGGCAAGTCTATTAAACGTAGTATAACAGTCATATTATATAGATAATAATTTATAAACTTCAGATAGCAAATAATCATTATATCTTTCAATATATTATACATTAATAGAATAGCTTATTTAAATTTTGTTCTTTTAAATATATTTATATATTATATGATTTTTCTTCTTTTCTGCGCTCATCAAAATTGTCGTACACTGAAAGCTAACACCGCGAATTCGCATCGTCCGGGTTTTAGACAACATAATCCCTACATTATAACAGGTTTTTAGATGTTATATCCAGTTTACATTGGTTCACGTGGATGACAACGTTGACAATATAACCGTATCGAGCTTATTATAATTAACGAGCATGTAACATTTATCCAGGGACTCGTTATATAAATAAAATACTCCTGTTATAGCGCCTTACAATTATTACAATCCATAGTACATTTATTTAAATATATATATGTATATGTGCGTGGACATATATACATATATATATATATAATATATATATATATAAGTTACGCTAAGAAATTATCATATATATACAATTAAAAATTGTTAAGAAATATCCTTTAAAACAAGTTAAATTTATACATTATATGTTCCGATGCATAAAAACATTTCTCACTGTTAATCAAATCAACGGTCGGTACTCGCAATGGTCTGGTATCTCTCGCGGCTTGTTTTTTTTATTGTGCCTGAACTCGCGACTTGAATCCAGTAATAATAAAAAATTTCTTTATTCTCGGTTTCAGAAACTTCGTCAAATGTCCACTGCCGAAAGTGTTAATGAAGAATAGATATATGTATATGTATTGCCGATCTATTAAGCGATATATTGCGCGCGGATAGAGAGATGTATAATCATCCTAAAGCTTAAACGGACTATTCTCACGAGCATCTTATTGATCTAGACGAACGCTGATATCAGCAGATCGCTCATTCGATTTTATATCTTGTCGCGTTCCCGCTTTGTTCGCGTTTCTTCTCGACATGTCCCATCGTCTCCATACTTGCTTCTTTCTTTCCCTTCCATTTCGCATTATATCTTCAAATAACACGAAAAAGCACATACATGGACGGGTTGGCATAGTAAAAACTAGCGCGAATCGGCTAGTCGAACTAGCAACGACATACGCAAATACATTATCATCATCATCATCATCATCATCATCATCACCATTATCATTATCGTCATCATCATTATCATTATTCATCTTCGATTGCGAGATTCCGATGAACGCAAAGAGATAAGGCAACCGAGCGGAACGGAAAGGCAAGCAAACTCGAAGCATAGGCCATGAGCGTGATAGTAAATCATTGTGCATGCTTTTGTGTGATTTAAAGAAGACAGCACCCCGAAGAAGCAAGCGTCTTCATGTGCCCCCGGTCCTATCGTGATCGTAAATTCTTCGCTCCATGCCAAATCCGAGGGCCATCAAAGTGCTTTCTTCCAAAGGTAAAGAATTCAATAATCGACGAGGGGATCAATGCCGAGAACCCGACGGCAATTTTTTCTTTTTCATCTCAAATTCAATTTAACATGCACGTTATTCCTAATGATCCTTCCTCTCTTCCGACATGAACGTGTCCATGATCTTCTGCATTGATTCCCGCAAATCGTCCGTGCCACTAGTTCCCGTGGATGACATCGTCCTCGTTTCCGTTCGGGTAGTTGTCGTTATACTGCAAAAAATAATTTTTTTTAGATTACATTCATTTACATGTAATTTCTTTCAACTTTTTGGTTTTTCCATGCGCCGTGATCAATGTATTAGGTGTACAAATTAATTCTCGGCCTCTACCTTTCAGCGACTTCAGAAAACCCGTTTAAGTTGAACTCTCCCTCCCCCTCTCTGCAGTCATTTTAAAGTGCCATCTTTTAGCTTTAAAATAAAATACAATACTTGATCCTCCTATGTGAACATAATCTGAAAAATCAGCAGTAAACACGATGTTGTTTGAAAAGCAACATTTGAGGCACTGTCTTTTCTTCGAGTTATAATTAAAAAAAAACGCGGTTGAGAAAAAGTATAGAGTCCCTATAGGGACTCTAAGAAAAAGAAATGATTTGTTCGGCTTTGGGCGAGAATACTGTATCGTACAGTACATGTAAAAAATGGTTCCAACAGTTTCGAGAGAGAAATTTTGACCTTGAGGATTGTAAACACCCTGATGGTCAACCAAAAAAATTGGAAGATGTGGAGTTGGAGGTTTTGAACGAGAATTCTTGCCAAACGCAATTAAAACTTGCAAATACGCTTGAAGTAACCCAGTAAGACATTTCCTATCGCCTAAAACAGCTGAAGAGGATTCGCAAGGAATCCCGATGAGTCCTTCATGAGCTCATTCCCGAAAATAAAAGCAGACGCCACGATACTGCTCTTTCCTTGCTCTCTAGGTTCAAGAAAAATAATTTTTTTGCTTGTGATAAAATTATTACTTGTGATAAAAAGTGGATATTGTATGAGAATTCTAAGAGGCGAAAATTATGGATCCGTCCAAGTGAGCCGTCAATAACGAGCATCGCAAAGCCGACATCCATGCGAAAAAGGTGTTGCTATTCATTTGGTAAGATCAGAAGGGCGTGATCCATTATGAGTTGCTCCGACAAGACCGTGACTGCTAAGCTCTATCAACAACAATTGATTTGTGTAAATGACGCTCTTGAAGAAAAAAGGCCATTTACTGGTGAAAGAAGGAAATAAGTGATACTGCTGCAGGATGACGCCCAGCCCCATACAGCAAGAAACACTCTGGAAACCATCTCCGATTTAGACTGGAAAATTCTCCCTCATGCAGCGTATTCTCCAGACTTAGCCCCTTTTGGATTATCACCTATTTCGAGCCCTACAACATCACCTAACTGATTCTCGATTCAAGTCAGTTCAAGAGGTCGAAAAAAGCCTTGATAAATTTATTAATTTAAAGCCACCATCATTTTTTCGATCTGGAATCCGGTAGTTGCCTGAGAGATGGAAAAAATGTATAGATAGCGAGGGAGATTACTTTGAAAATTGAGTTTGTATTCATGTTTTTATAAATAAATGTCAAAATTGGTCAAAAAGAGCCGAGAATTAATTTGTACACCTAATATATACAGCATGAGGAAAAGGTTTTAAATAATTTTCAAAACGAAGTGTTGTGAAAGAAGTAAAAAAATGTCTGTTTTTCACAGAGACGATAATCCAACGTACCTATCTTCAATAAGTTAAAAAAGAGAAAAATGATCATAATTTGTACGTACCTTTCTTGAGTGACAGGATCCACCTCGATCGTTGTCGTTTCCATGAAGGATGGCTCGCTATGTTGCAAAAAGTCAGATTCTGCGACAATAAATGAGAGCAAATCAAACACTTGCTTCATACGCTTCACTAATGCGGCAGGTTTCGCTATTTCGTTGCTGCATGTTTTACATAGAGAACAAGTACGAATCGTATACATATATATGCATATACGTAAATATACACATATATATATGTATATATATCTCAATTTTACATCATGCCCAGAACAAGGGGGTAAAATACTAGACACATATAAAAAAAGTTACAACACCGCTAAACATTTGACGATACATAATATAATGTATATGTTGTATGTATATATAATATATATAACGCATTTTCACCCAACTATAATAGCAAAACTATATGCAACCGTTTTCCTCACGTATGAGATCTCCCTCTGCACGTAGATCACGGCAAATATTACCTCGCGTGATATATACATATATATGTACATATATATGTATATATACACTTGTACAACTTTTATTGTGTCCACTACTCGTTTTTCGTGATGCTAGTTACTTTTACACGTGTGCTACAAGCTGTAAATCGTCTCAAACTTGGCCGAATTCCTATGTCTCAATTATAATTTAGGGACCTATTCTGTAACTCTTAACGACTCTAACGATATCATTAAATGATCGTTGCGCAGCTATTTTGCGGTACACAAAACCTGTGCAACGTTAATATAACGATATCGTTAAGTTACGGAATAGGCCTTTTAATCGTATAGTGACTAATCACAAGGAATCTAATAAATCGTGGTACAATCGACGAGATGATTCTTCGCTGCATCCTCTGCTCATTTTTTCAAGAGAAGTTCCCTCGCCGATTTTACAACGATTTTCCCCGTATATTTTCATGTGCGAAAAGATAAAAAATAATTGTGTTATATTACTGGTACTTGGTAATCCTATATAGTAGTTCGACAGATCCAATTTTTTTTTTTATATCTAGAAGCGTAATAGAGCTTTTCGATATAAAATCCTATTGGATACAAATGCAAAAATGCTAATTGACAAAGGTTGTGTTTCAAATTTACTGCTAGCGTTGAAAATTTATAGTTTACGTTACGTATTACAGTTTTAGCATTAACAGTGAATTTTGGAATATGGCTAAAATTAAAAATTATAAATTGAATTAATTTTGATTTTACGAGTACAACATTAAACAAATGTAGGTCTAAGTAATTGTTCTACTATTTAGGTTTGCTTAAAAAAATTAGTTACGTTTCATAGGAAGACAGCAGCATTGTAACAGCGCTTAGAAATAAACGCTCGTTGATCTTCAGTTAATTAAGTACAGCGATATTATTACTGAGTAATATGCCAGAATACTCTTCTCATTGTCAGTACAATTGTGCTACGCGCAGCGAGCTCGTGTGAAGCGCTGATAAAAGCCGCTGAACAAAGCATTTAGCAGTTAGTCTTATATAAAAGATGTAGATACTCAACGTTCTCGATACAACAAAAGATTATAATACTACGGTAAAAACTGAAAGTGGTGTTTCTTGACAATTTGTAAATACATCTGGATAGTATAATATAATATTTATTCGGATAAAGTTTGAAAATACGATACCGTAACAGAAACGAATTATCGATTCGAGATCTCAACGGCATTGACGAAGTGAAGCAATGACAACTCTGAAGACATGAGATCAAAGAGATTCTCTCCGTATAGATATTTTTACACTTGAGAGCACGACGAAAAATATATCTTTCTCAGGTAAAGAAGGTACTGGAATTCAAATAAAGAGAAATTATCAGAAATCACGATTTTCATACGCGAGTCTACCGCCCTATGGTTTTGACCGTAGTTTTGCACAAAACGTTTCATAAGATTTGGCAGCCATTTCATAGAAGCCCGTACTTCATAGAAACTACATTAGTTAGTATTGTTAGACGAACGGTCAGGTGTTGCTGGTGTTGTTATTATTATTGCGAATAATTCGGTGATATATTAATTCCTGATGCGAAAAGTAACATTAATATATTCTCGCGGAGATTTTGACTTCTTCATAGCAACGATACATCATTTTACTTGAGTCGATCTTCACGTCTGGCATCCCTTATGAAAAAGCAAATATTACTGACACAGAAATATTACTGGCAATTACATAGCAATATAGTATTACAGGATATCACAGAAAGTATTACAGAATTATTACTTATTACTTATTATAGAAAATATTATAGGATATCATTGAGAATATTACTAATAACTACACAGAACGTCAATAATTATTTCAAACCATTGCCAAAATATATTACTGCCAGTGTAGTTATCAGTAATATTCTCAATGATATATCCTATAATATTTCCTATAATAAGTAATAACCTGTAATATTTTTGTATCAGTAATATTTGCTTTTTCATAAGGGATGTCAAAATAGAAAATGTACTGAATAAATGGGGAAACTCAAGTATTCAAGAATACTGAATCAATAAAGCACGCGTGGCATGCGCTAATCAACGTTTGGATGTCGAATGACGTTATCGAAATGATTATTGCGTTTACAGTTCAAACAGCAAATCACTAATAAAAGAAGAACGATTATAGACTCAAGAGATGCGAGGAAGAAATGAATATCTTCTGTCTCAGTTCTCCATCTGGGGATTGAAACCTGATGTAATTCCGAGGAGTCCGCCTTTCGATGCGTCGAAATGGTGCTGAAATCCAAACTCGCCGGAGTTATATCAGTTCTTAGTCCCTTTCGCACTACCCTTCAACGTATGTTTGCAGTTTTGCGGGATCGGAAGGGTCGGATTCGGTGGACTTGTTAAAAAGCCGCAGCATATCGGTTGGTGCAACGTAACTCGCTCTCATATAGCAGCGAAAAGATAGCTAGTTTGGTGCCGTTCGAGATATAGCCATGTGTACTTATCCGTACATCGAGAGAATCCGAAGCAAGCTGCATACCTTGTGCTTGCACACGTGTATAGACACGATACATATACATACACTTAGGCATTACTTACATGACGATTCGCCTAACAATCCTAATGTGACTAAAAAAACACGATTGTTGGTCCCTCTACACTTTAGCTTTATCTTAAGTTGCTTATTGTCAGAAGAGAGCTAGAGGGGTAATAGTGATCTATCTATATAGGATACTCTCAAAACTAAAACAAAAGGGAAATAGAAAAAGAAGGGAGGAAAAAGAAAGAAGATAAAAATAGAAAACGAAAGATAAAGAGAAACAGGAAAGTGGGAGCTCTTTTTGGTATGGCGAAGGTACGTGCAACTAGATATAAAACATATTTTTCTATTGATCGGGGGGAGCGGGAAAATCATCCCCGATTGATGTGCCCCGACAACGGAGTACTACGCAAGAACAAAACAGCTACTACGGGCTAGACTAAGACTAAGAAGTACGATACAAAGATGCAATCATGCGGGGGAGTGTCAATGTCAATACTCATGCAGGTCGTACTCTAGAAAAAAGAAAGCTTGCGGAACTTGTTTCGTCGATCGCGGAAGTTTACCTGTTATCTCGAGATAAACGATGATTTATCGATATTGGTACAAAAGAGAGTGAACCTTTCAGTGTGACAGAAGGTAGTTCAGTTTTATAAGTACCACTCATTGCGCGTTTTTCAATCTTCCTCATTGTCCGCCGGAATTGTTAAGATCACTGCGCTGACATTCGATCGAAGTAAAGCTTTCTTTATAAGCATGGGCGTCCACAGGATTTTTTTCAAGAGAGGGCGTGATACAAAATATAATAATAATAGTAATATTAATAATAATATTATTACATATATATAATTTGTAGACTGCGGATATTTATGCAAAAAGATTTAACTGATGGATATTTTGCATAAAATGCATATTTTGCATAAATCAAATATATTATCTGCATAAAATACATATTTTTCATAAACTTTAAATATTTCATGTAATATTCAAGTAGGTATATAGTATGATTACATCATAATTATATGATGGAATACATAGCTAATTCGAGTTTCCGCAAAGACAGTAGGCATTTGAAACGAAATCTATTTTCGGATCCATATTGATGTTTTATGAGCATATCTGAGATCAGACAAACAGTTGAAAAAAAAAAAGGACAAACAATAATCTTACATATCCGAAGTGTTGTCTCCGCAAAATTGAGTATTTATGTAACGGCTCCGTTTAAAATCGGAAGAATAATATCGATGACTATGAATCGTCAATTTTGATTACGTGATTTATTTTGACGCTAAAAATGAGCAAAGTGTCAACATGAAAAGGCGCGTTAAGATCTCAGCACACGCTTTT